TGACGGAGGGTCAGTGCTGAGTGAGTGCCGCACTGACGGAGGGTCAGCGCTGACAAAGTATCCCTCTTTCAAGGACGAGATCCACTAACCCCGTCAGAGTGACTTGTGGATCCACTGAGCTCCTCACAGCAATCTCAGGATCCAATGAGCCCCTCAAGTGACCCGTGGATCCCATAACCCCCACATAGCGACCTATGGATCCTGTATCCCTCTCGCAATATCCACCAAGCTGCTCACAGTGATACAGCATTCCACTAAGCCGCTCAGAGTGACTTGGGGATCCAGTGAGCCCCATAATGGGAACGTAAAGATTCACTAACTCCCCTCAGAGTGACACAGGGTTCCACCGACTCCCTCATAGTGCCATGGAGATCCACTGATCCCCTCTTGGTGAGTGCGGGGTTCCATTGACACCCTAACAGCGACAGGGGAATCCATTAACCCTGTCAGATTGACCTCGGGGTGCACTGATCCCATTTTGATGACATGTGGATCTACTGACACCCTAACGGTGTGAGGGAGATCCACTGACTCAGTGACACGAGGATGCACCGATTCCTGCCTCGCAGCGAGGTGGGGATCCACTCATCCCCCCTTGCAGTGGCGTGGGGATCCACTCACCCCCTCGCATTGGCGTGGGGATCCACTCACCCCCTCGCATTGACGCGGGGATCCACTCATTCCCCCTCGCAGTGACGCGGGGATCCACTCATTCCACCCTCACACTGACACGGGGATCCACTCACCCCCCTCACGGGACACAGGAATCCACTGACCACCCCACCCCCTGCCCGGCCAGTGATCTATAGATCCCCAGGGTCTGACCTCTCGATCCTTGATGCCCAGCAGCAGCACCTCCTCCATCAGGGTCAGCCTCAGCTCCTTGGCGTCTCCGTCCGCTTCCTCGTCCCGGTCCCGCTCGGGAGACCCGCCGCCCGGCTCCTGCCGGCCCCGGGCCCCCTCGGGCCTACGGACCCTGTGGGTCAGGGTCGACATCGGGCTCTCGGTCTCTCTCTCCCGCTCCCGGATGTGACCGCTCAGCCCTTCCCCCGAAACCCTACCCCACCCCCTCCAAAACCAACTCCCGACCCACCTCCAACCAGATCCTTCATTGGCCACGGGGCCGACCAATCAACTCCGAGCCCCTCAGCAAAGACCCCGCCCCCATTCACGATGGACGGAGATTACATCCAATAGGATCCAGGAGCAACACCGCCGTCAGATGGATGGACTCACTGACCAATCGAATGTTGAACGTGGACCCCGCCCCCTTCGCCAATGGACGGACGCGGTAACCATTCACCTACAGCTCTCGTCCACTAAACCCGCCTTCTTCGCCCATGGATGGCTGCGCTGACCAATCACATTCCGCTCATTTCACACGGCACCCACCCTCTTCGTTGATTGGCGGTGGCGTTAATCAATCTCTTTTCGGTCCCAGTCAACTACTCCCGCCGCCTTCACTGGTTGACGGACACTTTTCAGTCGCCCATCGCTGTCCCGCCTCCTTGGCTGATTGACGGTAGCGATAGCCAATCGTCTACCGATCCTTGCGCACTACTCCGCCTCTTTCGCTGATTGACAGGGCACCTGACTAATCGGCCCGCCAGATATCTGATGGTTTGACCAATCACCTCCCAGCCATCCGTCTCAATCCCCGCCCCTCCAATGATTGGCAGATTTTCTGTCCAAACAGCTCCCTAGGTCAGAGATAGTAGGTCACCGCTCGAGTCAGCAGTTATGTAAAAACACCGGGTGGTCCCGCCTCCCAATCCACACCCTCTTTCGTGATTGGCCCATCCGTGTCAAACCGCGCCTACGAAATCCAAACATTCGCGGATTGACAGATGATACAACCAATTACCAACGACCGTCAAACGGTGACCAATCCACACACACGCACGCACTATGCTCCCGCCTCTTTGCTGACTGACAGCGACCTCGACCAATTAACTACGACTCCCATCCACCCTCCATCCGTGCACTATCGGCCAATCAGACCTGTAACCGTCAACTGCGTCCCGCCCCAATGCTGACTGACAGCAAGACGAACCAATCAACACCATCTTCCGCAACCTAATCCCACCCACCCCATGACTGACAGCCATTGCAACCAACCCGTTCGTATGCAATTTGACAGACGGGGATTCCATCCAATCACAACACGACCCTTTTAGCAGGCAGTGCCCACGAATCAGAGCCTTCAAACTGCTCGACGGGCGGGCTTAACGTTTAGCGACGGACATTCAGTCCAATCACTAACCGCTGTTGTCCGTGGTGGGATGGGAATTCGTGGGCCCTGTCCGTGACTGACGTGAGCGTCCACCAATTAGCTGCGTTGGAGGAAGTCTC